GACGGGTGGCTCCCGGTGAAGAACGAAGCCTTGAAGCCCTGTGGGCAGAACATCGAAGGTTGACGCAGCGAGTCGAGGAGGTTGCGGCTGAAGTTCAGCAGTTTCAGGTAGATGTGCGACGGGATCTGCGTGCGATCCTTGTGCGTCTGGAGCATAACCCGACTGTGCGGACAGCGTTGCCGAATAATCCGCCGCCTATCCGGCGAGGAATGGAAGGGAGAAGAATTCCGAACAGAGATATATCGGATTCAGATGAAGGAATGGAATTATTCAGAGAACTGGAGCTATCGGACTCAAAAGAAGAGACCGGATATCAACATCGGCGGCACCCGAGGGGTATTGACCGACAACACAGCGAGTTCCGCGTGAAGATGGACATCCCGTTCTTCGACGGCAAACTTCACATCGAAGATTACTTAGATTGGGAGCGTGCGGTCGAAACCTTCTTTGAGTACATGGACGTCGAACCTACGAAGCAAGTAAAGTATGTTGCGTGTAGACTAAAGTCGGGAGCGAGTGCCTGGTGGTTACAAATGCTGCAATCTAGAAGAAGAGAAGGCAGAGGACCAGTTCGTAGCTGGTGGAGAATGAAGCAACTACTTAGAGGTCAATTCTTACCAACTGATTATGAACAAATGCTTTACATGCAATATCAACATTGTGCGCAGGGAAACCGCTCGGTCAGCGATTATACAGAGGAATTTCATCGGTTGTGTGCACGAAACAACCTGAACGAAACTTCAAATCAGCTGGTAGCCCGATACGTGGGAGGGTTGAAGGAAGCAATTCAGGATAAATTAGAGCTAAATACTATCTGGTCGCTGTCCCAGGCGGTAAATTATGCCTTAAAGGTCGAAATGCAGATGGCCAGGCATGGCAGGAGCAGCCAAGGGAAGAGACTAGCTGAGCTGACCGCAGAGAGTAATCGACCATCTAATGTGAATGCTGCTTCGATGGGGCGCGGGACGCCTAATGCGGGAGGAATTGTTTTACAGAATGGTGCTAATAACAAAAATGCAGAGACGAAATTAGTGCCGAGATCAAAGGGCCAGTTCAAAGATAATCCATACGTTAAACCTTCAACTATTAAGTGTTTTAGGTGCTTCCAACAGGGGCATAAATCCAACGAGTGCCCAACACGTCCGCAACTTCACATAATCGAAGGCGAGGATGACGCTGAAATTGAAGATGCAGAGGATGATGCAGCAAATACACTGGAGGAAGTAGGAGGAGATGATGGAGAGCCGTTAGTTTGTGTAGTACAAAAACTACTTCTGGCGCCGAGATTAACAGATAAGTCACAGAGAACCCGCATCTTCAAGACTAAAGGCACAATTAACGGCAAGGTTTGCGATATACTTGTGGACAGTGGTTGCACTGAAAATGTGATCTCAAAGGCTGCGGTCCAAGCCTTACAACTTAAAACTGCGCCAAATTTACACCCATACAAGGTGAGTTGGGTTAAAAAAGGAGTTGAAATAGCTGTCACCGAAAGCTGTTGTGTCCCATTTTCTATTGGAAAGAACTATGTCAGTGAAGTTGTTTGTGATGTAATTGATATGGATGTAAGCCATTTGATTCTCGGAAGACCGTGGCAGTTTGATATGAGTGCCACCCATGACTGTAGATCTAACACGTACACATTCAGCTGGAAGGGAAAGACACTAAGATTATTACCGGGCCAGGGAGATTCTGAACCGAGCAATCACAACAACAAATTATCAATGCTGGTAGTGTCCGGAAATCAGTTATTACATGCTTGGAGGGACTCATCTCAAATTTTGGCTCTCATCGTAAAAGAACAGACGCTGAAGGGAGAGAAAAGTTGTCCAGAAACTGTGAAAAGGTTGCTGGAAAAATATGCAGATTTGGGACCTACGGAGCTCCCGGCGGAATTACCACCTCTAAGGAATATTCAACACAGCATCGATCTAATACCTGGATCCACTATACCGAACCTGCCGCATTATAGAATGTGTCCAAAGGAGCAAAAAGTATTACAGCAGCTAGTGGATGAGTTGCTCGACAAACAGCTGATCCAGCACAGTTTGAGTCCGTATGCTGTGCCCGCTTTGCTGGTGCCCAAGAAGGATGGAAGCTGGCGAATGTGCGTCGACAGCAGGGCAGTTAATAAAATTACTGTTAAATTCAGATTTCCGATTTCAAGGATAGAAGAAATGCTGGAAAGGTTGGCGGGAGCACAAATCTTCACGAAATTAGACCTCCGCAGTGGCTATCATCAGATTAGGATCAAGCCCGGAGACGAATGGAAGACGGCGTTCAAAACACGTGAGGGATTATACGAGTGGCGTGTGATGCCATTTGGATTATGCAACGCCCCTGCTACCTTTATGAGATTAATGAATGAAGTGTTCAAACTGTTTCTGAACAAAAGCTGTGTGGCGTATTTTGATGATGTGCTCGTGTTTAGTTCCAATTTGGAGGAGCATCTTCACCATCTGGAGCAGATATTTGAAGTGTTCAGACAGCACAAACTGTATTTGAACTTAGCTAAATGCGAGTTTGCCACGGAAGCTATGTACTTCTTAGGATTCAAAATTTCATCGGCGGGAGTTTGTGCGGATCCTAGGAAGGTGGAAGCCATAGTGGGGTGGCCTACGCCAAAGTCGTTCACTGACATAAGGAGCTTTCACGGACTAGCGAATTTCTACAGGAAATTCATAAGGGGGTTTAGCGTCATACTGGCTCCTCTCACCGACGTATTGAAGCAAAAATTGTTCACCTGGGGAGTGGAACAGCAAAACTGTTTTGAGGAAATTAAACGGGCTATCTCCTCTGCTCCGGTACTGGCCTTGCCGGATTTTGAGAAGCCATTCTCTGTAGAAACAGAAGCATCCACGGTGGGCATTGGGGCGGTATTAGCTCAAGAGGGCAGACCGATCGAATTTTTCAATGAGAAATTATGTCCAGCAAGACAACGATGGTCAGTGTATGAGCAAGAGCTGTATTCAGTGATTCAGGCTCTAAAACAGTGGGAGCACTATCTATTACATCAGGATTTTGTTCTATGCAGCAATCACAAGGCGCTCCAATACATTAACACTCAAAAAAATATCAATCGGATGCATGCGAGGTGGATCCTATTTCTACAGAAATTTACATTTGTACTGAAACATAAAAGCGGGGCGCAAAACCGAGTTGCAGATGCGTTGAGCCGTCGCTCCGCCCTCCTCACACAATTGCAGACAGAATTTTCCGGTCTGGAGCTGATACAAGATTTATATCGGGAGGACAAAGAATTCGGCCAGAAGTGGTTACAGTGTGTGCGCAAGGAACCCAGTGAGGAGTACAACCTAAGACATGGCTTCTTATTTAAAGGTAATCTTCTATGCATACCTCAATCTTCATGGAGACAGCGGATAATTCAAGAAGTTCATGGAGGAGGATTAGCAGCCCACGCAGGACGCGACAAGACCTTCTCTCAACTACAGAACAAGTTCTACTGGCCACATATGAGGAGAGACGTCAGTAAATATGTGGATCGATGCTCAGTGTGTCAAATGTATAAAGGAGGAGGACAGAATATCGGTTTATACCTTCCTCTGCCGGTGCCGAACTCAATCTGGGAAGACTTGAGCTTGGATTTCATTCTTGGTTTGCCCCATACGAAGCGGGGAAACGACTCAATTATGGTCGTTGTGGACCGCTTCTCCAAAATGTCCCATTTTATGGCTTGTAAGAAGACTTTCGATGCACAAAACATTGCTAAACTCTTTTCAGGGAGATCGTGCGACTACATGGAAACTCATCTCCCTCCTCTATGGAAACCGCCGGCCCCCTTCTTTAATGGGCTCCATTAATGGCTCATCAATCTCCCTTAATTATATTTGAAATTTGAAAATAATTTCAAATAACTCCCTCCTAATTTACTAAAATCTGAATTTAATTTCAGATTTGAGTAAGTCTCTTGCCATCCTCATCTAACCTAGATTCCCACCCTCTCCCACCTTGGCCGAAACCTTCTCTTCCTCCTTGGAAATCCCGCCGGCCTCTCCTCTCTCACCCTCACTTAAATCTCTTCTCCTTTGAAGGATTCTCCAACATCAAGCATGCATGGCGGATTCGGAGTTTGAGTGGGGTCTCGTGTTCAATGCCGACGGAAGCTTGACTATCCTACGGTCACCATTCTTTGACGTAGGATTTGAAGACGACGCAACCGTGGGAGATTACTTGAAACGAGTGTTTCCTACCCTTGCAAGTGTCATCGACCGCCGACATCCAAACTACAATTGGAGCATCGACAGTCGATCATTTCCATCATCCTCGACACCGATAACCTTCCCGTGGATCAAGTTCGTTGTGGTTGCTACCGTTCTCGTGGCATCGTCGGGTTTGCTAAAATCCTTCTTCCGCTAAGCCTAGTGTAGTTGAGTGATACATTCCCCAAGGTAAAAACTCTCGTTATTAAGTTGTGGATTGTTGATTAATAGCTTTTGGTATTGCTACTATCTTTGGTTATCTTTGAGTTTAGCTATTCTACATGTACTTCCTCGCCTAAGCTAGTTGAAAACTAAGAATTCTTTGAGGAATTTTGCTTGTTATCTCAATAAGTTATTAATTGAAATTGCTTTATCAATCATTCGAAAATTTCTTAACAAGCTCCTTTTTCATGTGGTTTCACATCATTAGTCCATACAATAGCTCTATCGATTTGCAGTTTGCAGGATTTATTAATGATTTATGCTATAATTTAGTAAATTGAGCAAGAAAGCGTCCTAATTTAATTAACAAAACACGCATCGAAACAAGCATAAATCCACCGTTCCGGCAACAAAACTGACCAAACAGTAATATGAAGCTACATTCTAAAATTACTGAAAGTTTGAAAAATGGCAGAAGTAAGACTCAACCATGGAGTGCGAAACCAAAATTGAAAAAGAAAGGGACTTCAAAAATATTAATAACTATAATAGAAAAATCAGCGAGCATCGAAAACAAATTTTAAACTAGTCATAGAATCATTAAGAATTGGAACTTACATGTTACAGTGACACTAGTTCCTAGTCGTCAGAGCTTCTATGCTGGTGTACGTGGCGATAAAGGTGAATCTTCACTGCTATTAGAATCTCCCCTCCATGCTTCTTGCACCTGAGCGGCAAACTGCAAGTTCCAGAGCACATCTTCAACTGAAGGTCTCTCAGCAGGCTCCTCAGAAATGCACCGAATGCATATTTCTATAACAGTCTTCAGTGAATCGCTGCAACAGGCCTTTGGGAGCACTGGATCAACAATGCTTTTTGTCCTTGCAGCGCCATCAGCGGTTATGCTTTCTTGTAACTATCACAGTGGTTATACATGAGATGTACTATGAAAACATCAACCAATCTTGGAAGTATATTCATCAAGGAATTAGGAATAAGAATCCTTGTATGCTCGTTGATTTTAAATTGCAGAGTTTACTTGGTAAATATAATTTGATAAACACTAGTGGATATCAGATACCTGTTCCTTCAATAATTTTGCATCAATCCGGGTTGTAATAGGCCTTCCAGATATGATTTCCAATAATATTACACCAAAGTCATAGATGTCAATTTTTTCTTCATGCAAAGTTCTGTTGAAGGTCATATTGTATAATCATCACAGTTCAAGAAAGTCGTCTCAAACAAAGCCTTCGTAATTATCAAAATCAAATGCAAAAGTATTAGCGTACCTTCTGACATGCTCCTTGGATCCAAAAGTAGTTCCAACCATAACCTGCATGAATCCACAAAGCAGTAATGCCAAAAAAAAATAATGATGTCCAAACAATAAGGCTAGTTATGTGGCCGAGGTAATATTTAAAAAATATTTCTAACCTCTGCTTTTATCTCAGCTAGCACTGGAAGGTTATAACTGCTGATTTTTGCAACAAGGTTATGATCCATAAGAACATTTGTTATGGTCAGATCATTTGCAAACACACCAGGTATAATTCCTGCATGAAGAAACTGGATGCCCTTTGCCACACCAATGGCAGCTGCTATCCTTTGTGTCCATGAAAGCTTTTGCCCTGCAGTTCCAATTCCATCAAAATTGAAAACAATCACAGGAGAGAGAGAGAGAGAGAGAGAGAGAGAGAGAGAGAGAGAAGGTTGGCACATTCACTCTCCTCCCTCTTCTCTAAAGAATAGAGCAAAAAAAGTATGAACCTCATTGATCAGAGAAGTTTTAGTTACCTGAAATGTTGCTTCTAAGGGTTCCATTTGATACATATTCAAAAACGAGAAATAGTGTGCTGACACTGGAATCTTCGAGGTAATACTCAAAGCAATGGCCAAGCGCGCTAACCAAATGTCGATGTCTAAGCTTCGAAATCAGCTCAATATGGCGATTGAAGTTCTGGGAACTGTGTTGCTTTTTCAGTTTTAAGCACCTTATTGCAACGAGTGAACCATCTCTGAGCTTTCCTCTGTACATCTGACACGATAAAAAACAGGGCGTTCTCAAAGCTTAGAAGGCCAAAGAACTATTTATAGGTTTAAATAGATAAACCTGAGATTATAATCAGAATGAACATGGATTTTCTCGCATTTAAAAAGAAACAACTTTTGCACTGCTTTAATTAAGGAGATCATTTAACATTCTAAATTTTAAGAAATTCAGTGTCCTAGTTGTTGGGGATGGAAGAAAATCACATGATAAAACAAACAAGAAAAATATAAATGCAACAACAAC